GGTGGTGGTTGTGGTGGTGGTGGTGGTGGTGGTGGTGGTGGTGGTGTGTGTGTGTGTGTGTGTGCGTGTGTGCGCGTGTGCTGTGGCATGGCACGGGAAATGACGCCAGCGCTGCAGCGGGAGCACGAGTCGGAACGGGCGGAAGCGCGGAAATGAGGCCAGCGCTGCAGCGGGAGCACGATTCGGAACGAGCGGAAGCACGGAAATGAGGCCAGCGCTGCAGCGGGAGCACGATTCGGAACGAGCGGGGCCCGAAAATGAGGCCGGCGCCTCAGCGAGAGCAGCATTTTGAAAAAAATGCAGGCGAAAACCCAACTCCCGGGAATCCTGCGTGTAAAAAAGCAGGACGCGGGGGGACGCGGGGGGGGGGGGGCGGGGGGGGGTCGGCTACTCCCAGCACGCCATCAGGGGAAGAGGGAGAGTATTATTCATATTGAGTAATTGTGGAGGAGAGAGGGAGGAGGGAGGAAGGGAGGGGGGGAGGAGGGAGGAGGAGAGGAGGAGGAGGAGGAGGAGGGAGGGAGGATGGGAGGGAGGAGGAGGAGGAGGGGAGGAGGAGGAGGGAAGGAGGAGGAGGAGAGGAGGAGAAGGATGAGGAGGAGGGAGGAGGGGAGAGGGGGGGAGGGGATGAGGAGGAGGAGGAGGCGGAGGAGGAGGCGGAGGAGGAGGAGGAGGAGGAGGAGGAGGAGGAGGAGATGGAAGACGAGGACAGGGAGGAGGGATTGGTTGGAGGCAGACCTCCGCTTGGGTGCTTCTGGAGCGGCAGAGCAGGGTCGGGGCCGCGACGGCGTGGCCTCGGCGGACTCTGGCGGGGACGTGCAGCAGCAGATCGACCACTGCCGCGACGAGGACCGGCCAGAGCTGCCAGGGAGTGCAGATCGGTGGCTACAAACCCGGACCCCCTCGAGTCCTGAAAACATCACGACGATCTCAAGATCCAAAACGGTCCCTGGGAATGGGTTGAGAGCTCTGGGGGTTGACGTTATGAACAAATCCTGGCGTCGGGGGTCTGGGACGGGTGTGATTACGCCGTGGTGTGTTTTGTGATCTGCGTCGTTGGGGCCTGGGGGGCACCACGTTGCCCTCGTGGGGCCTCCTCGGGCTCGCGGCGGAGAACTCAGTCAAGGTCCTCGCCCGCCCCCCAGGATGCGCGCCGCAAGCCACACCCCCTGCAAACCACACCCTTCGGAGTTGCGGCGCAGAGGCGGAGTGCCGCCGGCGCACCTGGGAGGGGGCGGGCCACGTCCGAAGGCCT